GTATCTCTGTGTTCCCCTGAAAAATTTAAAATATTCCTCTCTGCCCTGGTGAATTTCCCGTTCCACCCATGGTACCACAGTATCATCACTTTACCATTTCCTTGAATCCTAACCACAGTCTTCTAAGACTGGCATTGTTCACGTTTTATGATTAAAAGAAAGGTAGTCTCGAGTGATTATATGACTTTCCCAGAGTCACATGAAATTTTTTTTAGAGACAGGGCCTCATTCTGTTGCCCAGGTTGAAGTACAGTGATGCAATGACAGCTCAGTGCATCCTTGACCTCCCAGGCTCAATCAGTTCTCCCGCTTCAGCCTCCCAAGTAGCTGGGACTACAGGCGTGCGTCACCACACCCAGCTAATTTTTGTATTTTTTGTAGAGGTAGGGTATCGCCGTGTTGCCCAGGCTGGTCTTGAACTCCTGGACTCAAGCAATCTTCCCGCCTTAGCCTCCCAAAGTGCTGTGATTACAGGCGTGAGCCACGGTGCCCAGCTTACTCACATGAAATTTGACATTAGGGCTGTTTGAGACCAAAGCCCATATAACTGCAAATTCACTCCAAAGCGAGTTTTTATTTTGGATACTATGTTCTGGATAAAAGCCACAGCATGTTAAGTTTCCCTATCAGAGAATAATTGGGACTATTTAGGGATTTTTAACAATTGGATATCAACGAATGGCCTTTGGGTTTTTGTGTGTAACTTTAATGCGGGGTTTCACAACCTCGGCACTCTTGACACTTGGGTTGGATAATTCTGTAGTGTAGGACTGTTCTGTACATTGTAGGATGTTTACCAGCATCCCTGGCCTCTGCCCACTGGATGCCAATGGCACCCATGGTTGTGACAATCAAAAGGTGTCTCCAGACATTGCCAGATGTTCCCTAGTGGCAAAGTTGGCCTGTTGGAGAACCACTGCTTTAATTTAATAATGACTAAGCCTGAGTAGTTAGGATTTTCACAACCATCTTTTCGTTCTGGCTGTGTATAAATTGGTTCTTAAGTTTTTAAATCATATTATGATCTTATATTTTCAGGGCTTCTCTTCCCTCTTAACCCTCTTAGAAATCAATCCTCTAAAGTAATATTGATCACAGAAAGAACTGCTAGTAGCAATATAGAGGTTTTAAATCAATGTTAATTGACTTTCTCAGAGTTGAGTAAGTGTGGTCCGTCTTTTTTTTTTTTTTTTTTTTGAGACAGAGTCTTGCTCTTTCACCCAGGCTGCAGTGAAGTGGTACGATCTAGGCTCACTGCAACCTCCACCTCCCAGGTTCAAGCAATTCTCCTGCCTCAGCTTCCTGAGTAGCTGGAATAACAGGTGCCTGCCACCATACCCAGCTAATTTGTGTATTTTTAGCAGGGATGAGGTTTTGCCATGTTGGCCAGGCTGGTCTTGAACTCCTGATCTCAGGTGATCCACTGGCGTTGGCCTCCCAAAGCGCTAGGATTACAGGCATGAGCCACTGTGCCCGGCCGGTCGGTTTCTTTAGAAAGTTCTTCTGTAAATATCACACAAAATGTTTTCAGTTGCCTTACATTTTTATCTTATGAAATAGAATATAGGAAAAGAAGGGATTGTGGATCTCATTTTGGCAAGCGAGTTACCTTTCCCACCAGCTCTCAGAAGCATTCCAGACAGATAAGGATTTTTTCTGTTCTCGTGGCCTCTTGCCAGTGCTAGATTTTGTACAAATGGCCTTCTTTTCCCAGAATTATGAAACTCCTTTGAAACTTGCTCTGAGCCTATCCTCCACAAATACATTCAGTTCCCTGCAAAATAATGGTAAGGCATCCTTCAGGGACAGATAATGGACCTGTTATTTCCCCACAACTTGAGTAGCCCCTGACTTAAGAAGAGCAACTGAATCATGTGATGCTGGTGTGTGTTACTCAAGTCATCAAATTCTGTCATTTAAAGGGATCTTAAGGTCCTCTTGTCCAGTGCTTCCATGTGGTATGCCAGTGTGCCACCACGTACGGCTGGGCCACTGCAGAGTGGCGGGTGAGCCTCAAGTCACTGACTCCCTTCAGCTCAGATGTACCTTGTGTACAGCTTACAAGAATAATCATGATGATGTGTGATTTATGCTTTACATGCTAACATTAGATCCTAACATAAGAGAGGTCTCCCCTGAACTACATGGTACTAGACTTCATGTGTTAATATTCTGGTGTATTTGTTGTTTTTTTGGCCAGGGACGGAAAAACTCATTTCGAATGTGCTTATTATTAATATATTTGTTATTTGCAAGAAGTTATGCAGGCATTTTGGAATTATTTTCATAATAGGGTAGACAACTACTTTCATATTCTTTTATTTGGTAGAGACAAGGTCTTTGTTCTGTTGCCCAGACTGGAGTGCAGTGGCACGATCATAGCTAACTGAAGCCTTGAACTCCTGGGCTCAAGCCCTCACACCTCAGCCTCCGGAGTAGCTGGGACTACGGGCGATGCCACTACATCTAGCTAGTTTAAAAAATTTTTTTGTACAGACAGTCTTGCTATGTTGCCCAGGGTGGTCTTGAACTCCTCATTCAAGTCGTCCTCCTACTTGGGCCTCCCAAGTTGTTGGGATTATAGGCGTGAGCCACCATGCCCAGCCACATGCCATATTCTTTATATTACTTTCCTGACTCCTGGCACCCTAGGGCTGACTTCGGGTTCCCTGGTTGCCCTTTATTGCTTTCCTGACATCTAACAGGCTCTTAGGAGGTATTTCTTTAGCTTATGGTGTGTAGCCATATGTATTTGAATCAGCCAAGTGAAGTTATCAAGATAATAAATGAGAAACTACTTACATGTTGTAGGTTAGCCTTTTCAGCATTTTTTGCTGAAGTTCTCAGAACCAAGAGAACCTGAATTATTAGCAGTAGTATGGGTAGCTGTTGATGTTTCAGCTCCTGCCATGGTTTGTATCCTCAAGGAAGTTGAATGAATAATGTCTGAAGTTGAGTGAATAATAAAATCAAGCAATTTTCTTTCTATAAAACAAATTTGGTAACTTTTATTTTTTTATTTTTATTTTTCTGAGACGGAGTCTCACTCTGTTACCCAGGCTGGAGTGCAGTGGCACGATCTTGGCTCATTGCAACCTCCGCCTCCCAGGTTCAAGTGATTCTCCTGCCGTCAGTCTCCCGGTAGCTTGGAATACAGACGTGTGCACCACCGCACCTGGGTGAATTTTTTTTTATTTTTTAGTAGAGACAGAATTTCGCCATGAGGCCAGGCTGATCTCGAACTCCTGACCTCAGCGTGATCAGCCCATCTCCAGCCTCCCCAGGTGCTGGATTACAGCGCCATGAGCCCACCGCTGGCCTTAACTTTTATTGAAAAATGTGAAGTGTAACACAAATCCGTTGTGACTAGGTTCATGAACCTCCGTGTACCCATCACTTAACTGTCTCATTTTATTTGTAGCGTCATTCAAGAGTGTAAGTCTCTCAGACTAAGCATCAGTAGCATTCTGGAAACCTTACTAGAATGTAAAATTTTTTTTTTTTTCTTTTGGACGACGAGTCTTGCTTTGTCACCAGCTGGAGTGCAGTGGCATGATCTGGCTCACTGCACTCCCGCTTCCAAGGTTCAAGCCATTCTCCTGCCTCAGCCTCCCAAGTAGCTGGGATTACAGGTGTGGTGCCACCACACCCAGCTAATTTTTGTATTTTAGTATAGATGGGGTTTCACCATGTTGCCAGGATGGTCTTGATCTCCTGACCTCGCGATCTGCCCCCTCGCTCCCAAATGTTGGGATTACAGGCATGAGCCACCGCGCCAGCAGCTAAAATGTCAGTTTCCGCTAGTGGAATGTGTAGTGAATCAGAAGCTTGGGCGTGGAGCCCTATCAATCTGTGTTAGCAAGCCACTCAGCTGATTCTGATGGACACTGAGAAGCCTGGGATCACTATAAGATAACCATTTCATCCTTACTCTGCCGTAGTCTTCAAAAGCACATGCTGTCCATTTTGATTTCGTAAATATACATTAGTACATAAATTTTTTTTAAAACATTAACACAAATGGGGCATAACTTTAAAAAGCAGCCTGCTAAATGGTCCACCATACATTTACAATAGCTTACCATGCCCTGATCTCTTTTTTGTTTTTTTTTTGAGCTGGATCTCCCTCTGTTGCCCAGGCTGTGAGTGCAGTGGTGCAAACTTGGCTCCTGCAAGCTCCCGCTTCCCAGGTGTCATGCCCCTTCTCCTGTTTTCACCTCCAGAATGCTGGCGGACTAAGGCGCCTGCCCCAATCGACTCCTAATTTTTTTTTCTTTGTTTCTTTTCTTTTGTATTGTTTAAGTGATGGCGGGTTTCACTGTGTTAGCCAGTGATGGTCTCAATCTCCTGACTCGTGACTCTCGCCCAGCTTGGCCTCCCAAAGTGCTGGGATTACAGGCTTGAGCCATCATGCCTGGCTACCCTCTGATCTCTTAATTCCGCTCATACTATCTACTTTAAAGAAATAACTGGACAGATGCTTCATGATGTATATACAAGGATGCTTGCAATGCCTAGATGGGGAAAACTTAGGAATACCACGTCTCATAGTGAAGGATTGGCTAAATAAGTTATGTTTTATCCAGTCAGTGGAATGCTATGAAATCATTATACAGAAGGATGTCCCTGATGCTGTTGCTATGTAGGAAAAGCAGTTTTCAAACCACATATTGGGTGGTCCCATTTTCTTTATTCAGGGGGTGTGTGTGTGTGTGTGCGTGCGCGCGCGCCCACCATGTGCATGAGAGGGAGAATGTGTTTTTGTTGTGTGCAATAACTTAAGCACATAGGACAAAATGCTGAAATGTTACACACCAAAACACGAATAGTTATCTTTGGAAGATACGATTTTGGATGATTTTTACCCTCCTCTTACCTATTTTTTTTTTTTTTTTTAAACAATGATGCATGTATTTTTATAGTAGGGAAAAACTGTAAGGCTACTATAACTTTGGAAAAGACATATTCATTAAAATTATAGCCTCTGATTGCATTTGCAGATGGACACATACTGGATTCAAAGAGATATGCCGTTATTGGAGCTGATCTCCGAGACCTGTCTGAACTGGAAGAGAAACTAAAGAAATGTAACATGAATACACAGTGAGATATTTTTTTAAAACCTCTTTTACATTTGTGATTTTATGCTAATTATGAGATAAGGCCAGTCGGAAGTGCAGCATGATACTCATGTTCTTATTTTTTATTCTGTAAGTTTTATTTCATTGCTACCTAGTTTTCTGAAAAAAATTCTTTTTTTTTTTTTTTTGAGGTGGAGTTTTGCTCTTGTTGCCCAGGCTGGAATGCAGTGGCACAATCTCAGCTCACCGCAACCTCCACCTCCCGGGTTCAAGTGATTCTCCTGCCTCAGCCTCCCGAGTAGCTGGGATTACAGGCATGCACCACCACACCCAGCTAAGTTTGTATTTTTAGTAGAGATGAGATTTCTCCATGTAGTCAGTCTGGTCTCAAACTCCTGACCTCAGGTGATCTGCCTGCCTTGGCCTCCCAAAGTGTTGAGATTACAGTTGTAAGCCATCACGCCTGGCCTAGTTTTCTGAAATTTTTTAAGCAATACTGTTCTTCAAGTCTGTTTCTACATCAGAATCACCTGTGTTACTTTGTAAAAATACTGGTGCCTAATTTCATATAAAAGTTTGAGAGAAGATAATTGTATGGATAGAAACATGTTTGTGACATATAAAGAAAAGATTGGCGTCCAGAATATATAAAGAACAACTACTATTAAAAGCCTCATAGAAAAATGGGCAAAGGATAGATTACCAGGCAGTTCAAAGAGGAAACCGAGTATCATATGAAACAGGTATTGGGCATCAGTGATAATCGGATGAAATTCTATTTTACTCTCACCAAGTTGGCAAAAATGTAACAGCTGACAATATCAAGTGTTGGCAAGGATATGGGGGATAGGGAATGATACACCACTGCTGGAAGTGAACTTGGTGCAACCATTGTGAGGAGCAATCTGAAAGTATCGAGTAACATTGTAAGTATGTGTACCATAGGATAAGCAGTTCCACTTTCGTGGGTGTCCCCTTGAGAAGATCTTGCATATATGCATAAGGAGAATGTTCCTTGTAGTTCATGAGTCTGGGAACTGAGTCCAGCTGCACAGGTTTGAATCCTGACAGGAACATGCACTAGACCATGACCTTGGATAACTTCACTTCTCTGCATCTGTTTCCTCTTCTGAAAAATGTGAATTATAGGCTGGGCGTGGTGTCTCATGCCTGTAATCCCAGCACTTTGGGAGGCCGAGGTGGGCAGATCACCTGAGGTCAGGAGTTCGAGACCAGCCTGGCCAGCATATTGAAGCCCCATCTCTACTAAAAATACAAAAAATTAGCTAGGCGTGGTGGTGGATGCCTGGACCCCAGCTACTCAGGAAGCTGAGGCAGGAGAATCATTTGAACCCAGGAGGTGGAGATTGCAGTGAGCCAAGATCACAACATCACACTGCAGCCTAGACAACAGAGCAAGACTCCATCTCAAAAAAAAAAAAAAAAAAAAAGAATGTGAATACTAATAGAACCCACCTGTAAGTGTTAGCGGTTGAGAATGTTGATAACTGTCAAAGAAGTCTCTAGCAAACCAGCTCTTCATTTCTGTAGTTTTAATTGTTGCTGATGATTTTGATGGTTCCTCAAAGAGAAGATAAAAATAATTCCTAATCCCAATACTTACAGATAACCACCTTAATAAATTTTATCCCAAAATTTGTAAATACATGTTTTTCTTTAAAATGTGATTATGCTATGTGTATAATTTTGGAACTTTTTGTTTGTTTGGAGACAGGGTCTTACTCTGTCACCCAGGCTGGAGTGCAGTGGCGTGATCTGTGCTTACTGCAGCGTGAATCTCCCAGGCTCAAGTGATCCTCCCACCTCAGCTTCCTGAGTAGCTGGGACCACAGGCGTGCACCACCACACCCAGTTAATTTTTGTAGAGACAAGGTTTCACCATATTGTCCAGGCTTGCTTTGAACTCCTGAGCCCAAGCAATCTGCCTGCCTTGGCCTCCCAAAGTATTGGAATTACAGGTGTGTGCCATTGCACCCAGCCAGTTTTGGAACTTTTAAAAGAATCGGCTGGGCACGGTGGCTCAGGCCTGTAATCCCAGCACTCTGGGAGGCTGAGACAGGCAGATCACGAGGTCAAGAGATTGAGACCATCCTGGCTAACATGGAGAAACGTCGTCTCTACTAAAAATACAAAAATTAGCTGGGTGTGGTGGTGTGTGCCTGTAGTCCCAGCTACTTCGGAGGCTGAGGCAGGGGAATTGCTTGAACTCAGGAGGCAGAAGTTGCAGTGAGCTGAGATTGCCCCACTGCACTCCAGCCTGGTGACAGAATGAGACTTCGTCTCAAAAAAAAAAAAATCAAATATATGTGTGTATATGTACACATACAATCATTTGTTTGTTAGTCTATTCACTCATTTAGCAAATAATCGAGGTTCTGTGAGGTACCGGTACTCACTATAGAGCCATGAACAAAACAGCTTACACATTGCTGTGTAAGGAAAAGAGACATTAAACAGCTAATGACATTTGACTGTTTAGTTACTCCTGGGATATCTGCTTTGAAGAAGTGCAGGGAAGCATCTGATAGGCCACTTGAATCTGGGGACCATGGATAGCTTTTGTGTCAATAAACACAGTCCCTGAAACATCATACTTACGAGTTGCATAGTAGTCCATTGGGTAGGGCATACCATGTTCTTTCAACCAGTTTCTTGTTGGGCTTAGCTGGATGTTCTGCAGTTTAGGCTGGGCTTAGCTGGATGTTCTGCAGTTTAGGCTGGGCTTAGCTGGATGTTCTTCTGCAGTTTGGGTTGGCCTTCCTTAGCTGGAGGTTATTCTGCGGTTTGGACAGGGCTTAGCCAGATGGTTCTGATTGGGGTTGGGTTTAGCTGATATCCTGGAGTTCAATCATGTGGATAGTGGGCAGGCCAGCTAGGGTCTGGCTGGCTGTCAGTTGGGAGGCCTCCTTCTCTTCCACAGATCTTCTCCTCCTATAGCAGGCTAGCTTGGGTTCCTTCAGATGGTTCCTTCTCCTCCTATAGCAGGCTAGCTTGGGTTCCTTCAGGTTTCCAAGTGCAACAAGAGAGCAAGCACCAATGTGCAAGTGACTTTAAAACTTCTGCTTGCATCATGTTTGCTACTGTCCTGTTGACCAAAGCAAAAGTTTCATGACCAGCCTAGATGCCAGGGGTAGAAGAATAAACACCTCTCAAATGGGAGAAGCCTCAGTGTTATGTTGGCATGGTGCGAGTGCACAGCAGGGGAGAACTTGTAGCCATTTTTGCAGTCCACCACACACGCTTAACATGTTTTCATTGCCACACAAATCATTGCTCACTGCTCACCTGTTCACAGTAGAAAGCTCGGATTGTGATGGTATTCCCCATGTATTTCTGCCCTGACTGGGGCTGTGCTCGCTCAGGCCTTCTGATTTCCCTGGGGCGTGGACTGCCCCACCAGCACTGCAGTACGATTAGAGGGTCCTGACTTGATGATAACAAATTTATGTGCCTTTTTTTCTTCTCTTAAGATTGCCAACACTCCTGATAGCTGAATGTGTGCTGGTTTACATGACTCCAGAGCAGTCCGCAAACCTCCTGAAGTGGGCAGCCAACAGTTTTGAGGCAGCCATGTTCATAAACTACGAACAGGTAAAAGGAAGCACAGGAGAATTGGATTCTGTACAGGACCCCTGTGGTGGTTTCCCTCTCCCAGCACCCTTTGGATAACTTCCCTTATCCTTTTCCTTCTTCCTCCAGCCTCTCACATATCTCCTTTATTCATCAACCAGCAATCTTAGTGCTCCTGACCTCTTGACCTTCTGCAGACTTTTTAGCCAGAGTTATTGGAGCTTCTGTCTTAGCCTTTACAAAAGTCTTTCAAGTTCTTATTTTTATCATTACATGTACCGTGGAGTCATAGAACATGAGGAAGGGGATTTTGGCTACTAGCATTTCGGGGTAGCAACTCAGATGCTTTCAGGGACAGGCAGGTGGTACCAGTGGAGGAAGTCAGCCAGGTGTGGTAGTGTAGGGTTTGGGGACTGTGGTGAACTGGAGCACCAATGTCCCACCTCACGGGAGTGGCCACTGTCCGTTTACAGCCAGTTGTTATCATGTAGGCATGTGAGCCTAGAGCTGCCAGAACTACTGATTTTTGGAAAAAGCTGGAAATGTAGGATTTTAATGTAAAATATTCTAGTTTCTAAGATGACCGTGTATGATTTACCAGCTGCCTGTTTACTTCTTCTGATTTATTGCAGAAAAAGTTCTGTTTTAGAGCTTTGGAATAGCCCAGCTTGGGTTGAATCCTGGCCCTGGCTTGTGCTCTCAGCTATGTGACCTTAGGCAGCACAGCTTAGTGATTGGGAGTCCATGCTCCAGAGGTGGGCATTCCTGCTGTGTGACCTGGGCAAGTTACGTAACCCCTCTGTGCCTGTTTCTTTTTTTTTCTTTTCTTTCCCTTTCCCTTTCCCTTTCCTTTCCTTTTCTTTCTTTTCTTTGCCAGAGTTTCACTCTTATTGCCCAGGCTGGAGTGCAATGGCGCGATCTTGGCTCTCTGCAACCTCCACCTCCCAGGTTCAAGCCATTCTCCTGCCTCAGCCTTCCAAATAGCTGGGATTACAGGTGTGCACCATCACATCCGGCTAATTTTGTGTTTTTAGTAGAGATGGGGTTTCACCATGTTGGCCAGGCTGGTCTCAAACTCATGACCTCATGTGATCTGCCTGCCTCAGCCACCCAAAGTGCTGGGATTACAGGCGTGAGCCACCATGCCCGGCTGTCCCTCTGTGCCTGTTTCTTCATCTGAAAATAGTAGTCCCTACTTCATAGCATTGTTGTGAGATGTAAATGAGTTAATGTATCCAAAAGCACTGACAGTGTTGCCCAGCTGTAAGTAAGCGTCAGCTATTTTTTGCTCTCTCTGAGCCCCCGTTCTTTGTTTTTAAAGAAATAATACCCACTCTTGGCTGGGCACGGTGGCTCACGCCTGTGATCCCAGCACTTTGGGGAGGCCGATGTGGGCATATCACCTGAGGTCAGGAGTTTGAGACCAGCTTGGCCAACATGGTGAAACCCTGTCTCTACTAAAAATACAAAAATTAGCCAGGCATGGTGGCAGATGCCTGTAATCTCAGCTACATGGGAGGCTGAGGCAGGAGAATCGCTTGAACCGGGGAGGCAGAGGTTGCAGTTAGCTGAGACTATACCACTGTACTCCAGCCTGGGTGACAGAGTGAGACTCTATCTCAAAAATAATAATAATAATAATAATACCCGCTCTCCAGATTATTATGGGGATTCCTGAGATGCTGTCAGTGGCTTATCGCATGATAAGCACTGATACATGCTCACTATTTTTATTGTGTATTGCTTTTTGTTTATTTGTTTGAGGTAGGGTCTGACTCTATCACCCAGGCTGGAGTGCAGTGGTGGGGATCATGGCTCACTGCAACCTCGACCTGGGGCTCAGATGATCCTGCCAGGTCATCCTCCCAAGTAGCTGAGATCACAGGTGCACATACCACGCCCAGTTAATTTTTAAATTTTTTTTGTAGAGACAGGGTTTTGCCATGTTGCCCGGGTTGGTCAGTTTTTTTTTTTAAATCTCCTTTTCTTTTTTATTTTATCACACAAAAGATCAATAAGGGGACTTGCCCAGTGTCACGTAATTATGGACAGATCTAGGGCTAGCCCTTGGTCTCTCAACCTCCTCCCCAGGTCCCTTCCTGCCCAGGTTCCTGTGTAGATGGTTCTTGATTGGTTGATTTTGCATCCTTCCCTCTCTTTAGTTGGGAGCGCTCCTCAGACTCTGTCTTCCGTCCTGATGGATGGATGTAATGGAAGGTGGCCTCACTGGTCTTTTCTTTTGATGTAAATAAATCCTGGGGACCTATCTTTGCTTTCAGGATAACCACATCTGGGGAAACAAATTCCACTGTCCATACTCCACGTTTCGGATTTATGCTGCTGCTTTCACTCTCCTTACTTTGTGTATTCTTTTGTTGAGCAAGTGTTTATTCAACATCATATGAGAGATGATGGATTCAGTGAATTCTGACCAGAGATCTTGTCACTTTGGAGCAAGCCTGGGAATGTGCCAGTTTTCAAAATGTTGTCCACAGCTGTCCCTCAACCGGTTCTGCTCCCACTCGCCACCCTCACCTGGTGCATAATGAACATTTAAGTTAATTCAGTAATTTCCTAACAAACACAAAACGATCAGCACCTCACAAACATGTATTAATTGCTCACATGCCTTACATTGTTTGCTTTTCCTTTTTTTTTTTTTTCAGAAACAGGGTCTTGTTCTGTCGCCCAGGCTGGAGTGCAGTGGTGCCATCATAGTTCACTGCAGCCTTGAGCTTCTAGGCTCAAGTGATCCCCCAACCTTAGTCTCCCCATTAGTTAGGACTGTAGGTGCACACCACCATTCTCAGCTAAATTTTCTTTTTTTTTTTGGTAGAGACGGGATCTTGCTGTGTTGTCCAGGCTGGTCTCAAACTTCTGGCCTCAAGCAGTTCTCCTACGCCAGTGTCCCAAAGCCCTGGGACTACAAGCATCAGCCACCATGCTTAGCTTGTTTTCTTATTAGTAGTTTAAGATGACAAAACTACATGGATGATAATAATTTCAATCATAATTCTAAAGCAGTGGTAGCAAATTCTTAGATTTTGCTTACTATATAGCAGGGACTATTCTATGAGTTTTACTTATATTAACTTTATTTATTTATTTATTTATTTATTGAGATGGAATCTTACCCTGTCACCCAGGCTGGAGTGCAGTGGCATAATTTTGGCTCATTGCAACCTCCACCTCCCAGGTTCAAGTGATTGTCCTGCCTCAGCCTCCTGAGTAACTGGGATTACAGGTGTGTGCCACCATTCCCAGCTAATTTTGTATTTTTAGTAGAGACGGGGTTTCACCATGTTGGCCAGGCTGCTTTTGAACTCCTGACCTCAAGTGATCTGCGTACCTCGGCCTCCCAAAGTGCTGGGATTACAGGTGTGAGCCACTGCACCTGGCCTATTAATTTATGTAATTATCACAGCTAGCCACAAGTAGATACTAGTACTATTCTAATTCTATAGGTAAGGGGAGACTGAGGCACAGAGTTATGTAGTTTACACACAGCCTCAAAGCTCTTAAATGTCAAGCAAAGATTCAAACCTAGGCAATAAAACGACAGAGTATGTGCTGACAAACACTTTCTATCTGGAATGAAGAAGTGCCATGTGATCATTAGTGCTACATTCCTTTCTCTCCACCAAAATAGTGTTGGTTCTTGTCTAGCAGTGCTGTCGTGTGCACTCTGAAAATCATTTCTCATATTGTTAAGCGGATTTTCCACCGCTGAGATGGAGTTTCGCTCTTGTTGCCCAGCCTGGAATGCAGTGGTGCGATCTCGGCTCGCTGCAACCTCCAACTCGCAGGTTTAAGCGATTCTCCTGCCTGAGCCTCCCTAGTAGCTGGGATTATACTTGCCTGCCACCACACCCAGCTAATTTTTGCATTTTCAGTAGAGATGGGGTTTCACCATGTTGGTCAGGCTGGTCTCGAACTCCTGGCCTCAAGTGATCCACCTGCTTCAGCCTCCCAAAGTACTGGGATTACAGGCATGAGCCACCGCACCCGTCCTTTTTTTTTTTTTTGAGACAAGAGTCTGTCATCCAGACTGGAGTGCAGTTGCACAATCTTGGCTCACTGCAACCTCTGCCTTCCGGGTGCAAGTGATTCTCCTGTCTCAACCTCCTGAGTAGCTGGGATTACAGGCACATGCCACTGTGTCTGGCTGATTTTTGTATTTTTAGTAGGGACGGTGTTTCACCATGTTGGCCAGGCTGGTGTTGAACTCCTGACCTCAAGTGATCTACTCGCTTCAGCCTCCCAAAGTGCTGAGATTACAGGCATGGCCACCATGCCTGGCTGAAAGTAGTGAATATTTGAAAAAGCGATAGTGTATATACAATGGTGTACACTAATATTGTTTCCTGGCGTTTTTCATATATAATTTGAGGTTTTTTAGATGAATTTTTGTAATTCAAAAAGTAATACTACATGCAGAGTACAAAAATTAAAAATACAACAGGGTAGACAAGGAAAAGTAAATCTCTCTCTTGCCCCAGACCTTGGTCCTCTAATCTGGAAAGCAAGGCTGCCACATTCCAGAATTTTTCCATGTACATAGAGATTCTTTTTTTCCTTGAAGACAGATGGGCGTATACTAACCATATTCCTCTCTACTTCACTTTTCAAGAGTTTACCCTAGAGGTCATTTCATGTCTGTATCTGTCTTCTCTTGTTTTCATGGCTATATATAATTTCGTTATACAGACATGCCAGGAGTTATTTCCATATTCTTCCTATTTTACCTAATGCTGTGATAAACATTCTTGCATCTTAGCAGATACGTGTGAGTGTGTCTGTAGGGTAGATTGCTTTCGGTGGAGTTGGTGGATCACAGGTTGAGCATTTATTTTTTATTTTTTGGGTTTTTTTATTTTTTGAGATGGAGTCTCGCTCTGTCGCCCAGGCCGGAGTGCAGTGACACAATCTCGGCTCACTGCAAGCTCCGCCTCCCAGGTTCACGCCATTCTCCTGCCTCAGCCTCCCGAGTAGCTGGGATTAACAGGCACCCGCCACCATGCCCGGCTAATTTTTTGTATTTTTAGTAGAGAAGGGGTTTCACCCTTCTCGTGTTAGCCAGGATGGTCTCAATCTCCTGACCTCGTGATCCGCCCACCTTGGCCTCCCAAAGTGCTGGGATTACAGGAGTGAGCCACCGTGCCCTGCCAGGTTGAGCATTTAAAATGGGTGTATCCTGCCCAATTGCCCTTCCAGGGCTACCCAAGTTTATGCTCCCGCCAGCACTGTGCTGGTGCCTGCCCCTCAGTCGTTTTCCTATGCTGGCTGTGCCTAATCAGACGTCAGCCTCTACTGCTTAAAAATAGGATGTTGATGTTTTATTTTGCATATTTAACAAACCCTTAGAGTAATGTCTTACCTTCTCTTTCCCTCCTAGGTGAACATGGGTGATCGGTTTGGGCAGATCATGATTGAAAACCTGCGGAGACGCCAGTGTGACCTGGCAGGAGTGGAGACTTGCAAGTCATTAGAGTCACAGGTCAGAGAGCAGGGACTGGGACATCCATTTGGACCCTTAGTCAACCAAGATATATAAAGATCTTTCTTTGCAGATACGATCATGGAGAAGCCCTGTTCAGTGCCTGCCACCATAGGCTGCTGAGCCTCCATGTGGGCCGCTAGTTCATGATACTGGGAAGACCAAGTCCTGCTTTGCCATCTTGGTGTAGAAAATACACATTTATATTTCCTACACTCTATTATTTTGACTTTGTATTATGCAAATTTTCAAACAAAAAGGTAGAGGGAATGGTAAAATAAAAACACACGTCCCATCACCTAACTTCAGTATTACTTATTTTATCAGTATTATTTCCTGAATTCTCCCACTATTTTTTTGTTGATGTTGGAATATTTTCAGGCAAATCCCAGACAGCACATGATTTCACCCCTAAATACGCATGTGAATCACCTACCAATAAGGACTTGCTTCTCCCAGGATGATGATGACACCATTTCACAGATCATACCTCACAAGCTGACAACTCCTTCATGGCATTTAATGCCCAGTTCATGTTCAATTTCCCCAGTTATTTAAAAAAACCTTTTTTTTACAGTTGATGTGTTTGAATCAGGATTTAAACGTTGTCCACACTTTGTAGATGATTGATATGTCCCTTAAACCTCTTTGACTCTATAGTAATGCCCCCTTCCTTTAAAAAAGTCATTTATTTTTTCTCAAAACAACTCCCACCCCTACCCCCATATAAATAGGTTCATTTTTTTGGGTGGGTGTGGTGGCTCACACCTATAATCCCAGCACTTTGGGATACTGAGGCAGGCAGATCACCTCAGTTCAGGAGTTTGAGACTAGCCTGGCCAATATGGTGAAACCCCATCTCTACTAAAAATACAAAAATTAGCCGGGCATGGTGGCACACGCCTGTAATCCCAGCTACTCGGGAGGCTGAGGCAGGAGATTTGCTTGAACCTGGGAGATGAAGGTTGCAGCGAGCCGAAATCAAGCTACTGCACTCCAGCCTGGGCAACAGAGTGAGCCTCTGTCTCAAAATAAATAAGTAAATTAAAAAATAAATAAATAGGTTCATTTTTACATGTCTTTTGTCACATAACCATTAGAATGCTTTAAAAAACTGTCACTCATAGAAAAGTTCTTCCTTTATTTCTCTTTGGAAGTACTTTAGTGAATTTCTCCCCATTATAACAATGCTTGTTCAGTATGGAAAGTTGGAAAGTAAAAAGAAGATATTAGGGTCTAGGATGTGCTTTTGAGAAAGGAGTCAGCTCAGAGGAGGTCTGGTGTGCTTAAGAGCGTCTCAGTGCCTGGCGCACTGGCTCACACCTCTGATCCTAGCACCTTGGGCAGCTGAAGAGGGAGGAATCGCTTGAGCCTAGTAGGTCACGGCTGCAGTGAGCTGTGATCACACCACTGCACTTCAGCCTGGGCAACAGAGTGAGACCTTGTCTCTTTAAAACAAAATAGTGTCTCAGATTTGTAAGCCAGTGCCTGGTAGTTCTCTAGTTCTCCATTTCTCTTCGTTGCACGTTTTAGAAAGAACGGCTCCTGTCGAATGGGTGGGAAACAGCATCGGCCGTCGACATGATGGAGTTGTACAACAGGTTACCTCGAGCTGAAGTGAGCAGGTATGGGGTTGGTGAGCGTCAGCTTGATGGGCATTCATTGTGAACTGAAGGCATGATTGCCTCTATTCTTTAATGCAGAAAAACAGAACAATATGTGGAGATTTCATTTAAAAAAAAAAAAAAAAAACACAAGGCTAGGCACGGTGACTCACACTTGTAATCCCAGCACTTTGGGAGGCATAGGTGTGCAGATCACTTGAGGTCAGGGGTTCGAGACCAGCCTGGCCAATATGGTGAAACCCCGTCTCTACTAAAAATACAAAAATTAGCCAGGCGGGGTGGCACACATTTGTAATCCCAGCTACTCGGGAGGCTGAGGCAGGAGAATCGCTTGAACCCCGGGGCAGGGGCGGAGGTTGCAGTGAGCTGAGATCATGCCACTTCACTCCAGCCCGGGTGAAAGAGCGAAACTCTGTCTCCAAAAAATAAAATAAATAAAAATGCAAAAGTTAGCCGGGTGTGGTGGCACAGGCCTGTAATCCCAGCTACTAAGGAAGCCGAGGCAGGAGAGTTACTTGAATCCAGGAGGCGGAGGATGCAGTGACCTGAGGTTGTGCCACAGTATCCAGCCTGGGTGACAGAGCAAGACTGCTTCTCAAAAAAAAAAAAGACCCTAACTAGACCTATTTTGAAACAAGTTAAACACTGATAGCAGCTTGAAAGTAACTCATTAGCTATTAGCTGAGATAGGGCTTATGCCCAAACTGATTATTTTAGTTGAAACAAGCAGTTACACCTGGAAAACTCCCAGAGCAACCTTGGCAGTGGAAATTTTACATAACTTTGGAGAGGGAGGAAAACGACGTTGCTCAAGGACGTATAAGGGGCTGGTGGGTTTTCTCCCCATTATAAAGGAAATCTATGCTTGTGGTTCTGAAAAGTTCCTCAAGCATTATAAAGTGCATGAAGTATGAAGTAGTTGTCCCCTCTGTAGTCACACTTGGGAGGTAGCAGTTCTTAACATATTGGGGAATATTCTTTTCCTAGATAGAAAGATAAATATTTATTAATACATAGATTTCTATTTTTTTAATCCATGGATTCATACTACACATACTGGTCTGTAAACCACCATCCTTTTTGAAAACAATAGATTGTATTTGCCTTTACATATCAAAATATTGAGGGTTGCCATATCCCATTTAAGGGTACAAAGGGCCATGCGTGGTAGCTCATGCCTGTAATCCCAGCACTTTGGGAGCCCAAGGCAGGTAGATCACCTGAAGTTAGGAGTTCGAGACCAGCCTGGCCAACATGGTGAAACCGTGTCTCTACTAAAAATACAAAAAATTAGCCGGGCGTGGTGGTGGGTGCCTGTAATCCCAGCTACTTGGGAGGCTGAGGCAGGAGAATTGCTTGAACCTGGGAGGCAGAGGTTGCAGTGAGCCGAGGTCACGCCATTGCACTCCAGCCTGGGCAACAAGAGCGAAACTCTGTCTCGGAAAAAAAAAAAAAATAGGGTGCATAGTATTTATATTGATATGTGGATATAGTATATTGATAATAATTTTTAAATAATTAAAAATGTCTGTAGCTAGGCATTTAGTTGCGGTGTCTTGTTTATTCATCTTGTTTTCATTTCCCTGTTATAAACAACACTGGAGAGAACATCACCGTTGTGCATCTATGTACAGCCCTAGTGTGCACTTCAGCTCTTTTTTTTGTAATCACTCTGTGCTTCCTGATTCCTGCTTTCTTCTTGTCTTTGGAGACCTAAGATCAATAGCCTTTGGTTTCTTACAAGATCATGAGAAGAATTTTTGGCTTTGCTTTTCCATATAACTTATTAACATTTAGACGTATCACTGTTTTTCCCAAATATGTACATGAATAATTGAGCATGAAAGCCTGGAGGGTTTGAGAAAGTGCTGTCTCCACATGATCAGGTCAGTGCTTCCTGGATTCTTCTGGAAGCATCCTTCTGCACAGGCTGGTTTTCATTTGCTATATGTCAAGACGACTGTTTTGAACACCCCTGACACGGGTTTGCTCTGGGACTGCTTCTAGATGCCCAGAAAGGAGCCTACGACTAGCATCAACCACAAGGAAACTCTTACCTCCAGGAAGTCATTTGTCTCATGTTTCCAGGACTTCTGTAGACAGCAACGTGTAACCCTCGTGGGGGTGGTGGGTAAGGAGATTGGAAGGCCTTTGTCTATCCATGCCAGGCCGAACAGCCTGCCCAGCTCTGTGAATGCCACGTAGTTTGTATCTGCTTTTGCCAGAAACTGTGGAGTATAATAGGAAGTCTAAGGCGAGGCTATTCACTGAACAAATGCTGAGTGTCTGCTGTGTACCTGGCACTTTTCTAAGCACCAGGGTTACAGCAATGATCAAAATAGGACAAAAGACATTCCTGCCCTTGGGAGCACTCTTTCTAGTGAACAGCTTAATAATTAGTAGTGTCTCCTGATAGCTGTACTTGGTAATAACCGTCTTGGAGCTTTCAGTATGGCGATGGATTTTTCTGGAACTTGGTATCAGATCTGCTTTGGATGTCTCCTGGTAGAATGACTTGGGAAGCAACCACATTAGTTAATGTGTAGTCATTCTTACTTCAGATGTGGTCCTGAGACCTGCATACCAAGACGGGAATGAACTCACAAATACAGAAACATGCACAGACATGCACATGTGTTCACACCTGTGCATACGTGCATATAACAGACAAGGCCTGGGCAAGTGGCAGGACTCAATGTTAGCAGTGGCTATTGTGAATAGTAGGAATATGGATCCTGTTTCTTTTTTTATTTTATTCTGTATACTTTTTGAAAATGCCCGACTTTTCCTCCATAGTGTGTACATATTTTGACATAAACTTTTTTTTTTTTTTTTTGATAGAGATGGAGTATTGCTATATTGCCTAGGCTGGTCTCAAACTCCGGGCCTCAAGTGATTCTCCCATCTTGGCCTCCCAAAGCTCTGGCATTAGAGGTGTAAGCCACTGCTCCTGGCAAACAGAAACTTTTTTAAGAAGCTGTTTCCATGTGTTTGTGCATATTTCTCTCTGTGTGTATATATTTATTTATTTTATTTTATTTATTTATTTTTTGAGACTGAATCTCGCTCTGTTACCAGGCTGGAGTGCAGTGGTGTGATCTCTGCTCACCGCAACCTCTGCCTCCCAGGTTCAAGCAATTCTCCTGCCTCAGCCTCCGAATAGCTGTGACTACAGGTGGGCACCACCACGCCAGGCTAATTTGTGTATTTTTGGTAGAGATGGGGTTTCACCATGTTGGCCAGGCTGGTCTCGAACTCTGACCTCAGGAGATCCGCCCACCATGGCCTCCCAAAGTGCTGGGATTACAGGCATGAGGCGCTTCACCCAACCTGTGTATGTCTATTTAAAAGTTTACATTTAAAAGGCTTTTTTGGAAAAGTCATACATGCATATAATTTTTTATAAAGCCAGAATAAAGTAGTATAGAGTAAAAGCAACCCTCCTCACTGCTGGTCTACTACCTTCTCTGTCAAGAGACAAGTACCATTTCTGGTTTCTTCTGTATTTTCCAAAAGTCTGTACATATACAGACAAATTTGTCTCACTTTTTCTTTACATGGAGAGTGGTGTACTGTGCACATTACTTGCTTTTTAAATCACACAACTTGCTTTTTAAATTCCATGATATGTCTTGGAGGTTATTGCATATTAATACTTATGGACCTACCCCATTTTTTTAAATGGCTGCGTAGTGTCCTGTTTTGACGGTATCAATCTGCTTCAATTTACTCTGCCTGTCTCCTCCAGTTACCACTAGTTTTTCTTACTGAAGTTTAACAGCTCTTTATATAATAAGGAACTCAACCCTTTGCCACTTGAATTGCAAATATATGTTTCTAGTTTGTCATTTGTGTTTTGACTTTGTTTTGACTTTGTTTCTTTTCAGTGAAAAGAAATTAAAGTGGAGCCACATCATAATTACTATTTTATAGCCGCCTTCTTTCCACTTAACCTATCGTGAACATTTTTTCATATCCGTAACTATGGGCCATGATCTTCCTTTTCAATGCAGACCCTGGGATTGTTCTATTTTAATTCTTCCCACAGGATAGAATCACTTGAATTTCTGGATGAAATGGAGCTGCTGGAACAGCTCATGCGGCATTACTGCCTTT